ATAAAGGGCAATAACTCCTTAAGGGGTCAATTGACAATTTTGGTCATGTTGACTTATTTGTAGATCTTACTTTGCTGTACATTATTGCTGTGTACAGTTTATCTCTATCTATAATAATATTCAAGATAATAATAACCAAAAGCTGCAAAATTTTCTTAAAATTACTAATTCAGGGGCAGCAACCCAACAACGTGTTGCCTGATTGATCTGAAAATTTCAGGGCATATAGATCTTGACCTAATGAACAATTTTATCATGTCAGATTTGCTCTAAATGCTTTGGTTTCAGAGATATGAGCCAAAAAACTGCATTTTACCCTATGTACTATTTTTTAGCCATGTCGGCCATCTTGGTTCGCGGGTGGGGTCATCGGACACATTTTTAAAACTAGATACCCTAATGATGATTGTGGACAAGTTTGGTTAAATTTGTCTTAGTAGTTTCAGAGGAGAAGATTTTTTTAAAAGATTACAAAAATTTACGAAAAATGGTTAAAAATTGACTATAAAGGGCAATAACTCCTTAAGGGGTCAACTGACCATTTTGGTCAAGTTTACTTATTTGTAGATCTTACTTTGCTGAACATTATTGCTGTTTATAGTTTATCTCTATCTATAATAATATTCAAGATAATAACCAATAAAATGCTTCGCAGGGCGCAGCTTGATACGACCGCAGAGGTCGAACCCTGAACAGTTGGGGCAAGTATGGACACAACATTCAAGCTTGATACAGCTTTGCATTTGGATTGTGATTAAATATTTGACACAGCATCGGTTTCTGACACAGAATGAATGTGGTCTAAGAACGTAAAAATTTTAAATTGGACATTCACCTATTATGGTCTAATATCCAAAATCTAAATAAATGGTTAGATTCAGCATATCAAAGAACCCCAAGAATTCAATTTTTGATGAAATCAAACAAAGTTTAATTTTGGACCCTTTTGACCTCAATGTGGATGGACAAAGTTGATAACAAGGCCCAAAAATCAAAAATCTAAATACATGGTTAGATTCAGCATATCAAAGAACCCCATATATTCAATTTTTGTTGAAATCAAACAAAGTTTAATTTTGGACCCCGATTTGGAACAACTTGAAAACTGGGCCCATAATCAAAAATCTAAATACATGTTTAGATTCAGCATATCAAAGAACCCTAAGAATTCAATTTTTGTTAAAATCAAACTAAGTTTTATTTTGGACCCTTTGGACCTTAATGTAGACCAATTTGAAAACAAAACCAAAAATTAAGAATCTAAATACACGGTTAGATTCGGCATATCAAAGAACCCAAATAATTCAATTTTTGATGAAATCAAACAAAGTTTAATTTTGGACCCTTTGGACCTCAATGTGGACCAATTTAAAAACGGGGCCCAAAATCCAAAATCTAAATACACGGTTAGATTCAGCATATTAAAGAACCCCAAGAATTCAAGAATAAAACCCCATTGAAATTGGTCAAGAAATAAGCAATTTATACGAAGTATCTTTTTTTGCACAATACTGTGCAATTAAATATTTCTTGCTATTGCGCAATACTGTACAATTGACAATTTCTTGCTATTGCGCAATATTGTGCTATTGGATATTTCTTGCTATTGCGCAATACTGTGCAATTGAAGATTTCTTGCTATTGCGCAATACTGTGCAATTGAAGATTTCTTGCTATTGTGCAATACTGTGCAATTGAAAATTTCTTGCTTTTGCACAATACTTATTATATAATAATTTACACATCCTGTTTGGTGTGTATCTCCTACCATATCATTATTATTTGCTTTTAAATATAAATCATAAAATAACCAACTTAAAATGGAAAATTTTAAAAGAAAAAAAAAAGGAAAAAAAAAAAATCCCCCCCCCAAATTTTTTGAACCCGCTTATGATTCATCACCCCCTAACTTAATCCTCACCTTCCCTTTGTGGTATGGTACCTTGCAGTACAATTTCAGAGAGATCCATACACTTGAACACAAGTTATTGTCTGGAAACTAGAAAAATGTGTTTTTTGGCCCCAAATTCCTAAACGTTTAGGGCAATTACCCCCAAACTCAAACCCAGCTTTCCCTTTGTGATATGGAACCTTGTAGTACAATTTCAGAAAGATCCATACACTTACACACAAGTTATTGTCCTGAAACTAGAAAAATGCTTGTTTTTTGCCCCTTTTTGGCCCCTAATTCCTAAAATATTGAGGCAATTACCCCCCATCATCAATCCCAGCCTTCCCTTTGTTGTATGGTACCTTGCAGTACAATTTCAGAGAGATCCATACACTTGAACACAAGTTATTGTCTGGAAACTAGAAAAATGCTTATTTTTGGCCCCTTTTTGGCCCCAAATTCCTAAACGTTTAAGGCAATTACCCCCAAACTCAATTCCAGCTTTCCCTTTATGATATGGAATCCTGTAGTACAATTTCAGAAAGATCCATACACTTACACACAAGTTATTGTCATGAAACTAGAAAAATGCTTGTTTTTTGCCCCTTTTTTGGCCCCTAATTCCTAAAATTTTGAGGCAATTACCCCCAAAATCAATCCCAGCATTCCTTTTGTGATATGGAACCTTGTGGTACAATGTCAGAGAGATCCATACACTAACACACAAGTTATGTCTGGAAGTTACAAAAATGCTTATTTTTGGCCCCTAATTCCTTTACTGTTGGTACCATAACCCCCAAAATCAATCCCAACCTTCCTTTTGTGGTATTGAACCTTGTGGTAAAGTTTCATAGAGATCCATTCACTTAAACTAAAGTTAGAGTGCGAAAACCAATGTGTCTTCGGACGACGCCAGACGACGACGACGACGACGACGCCAACGTCATACCAATATACGACCACAAAAATTTTTTTGCGGTCGTATAAAAAACGGCAAAATTTCCTTAAAATTACCAATTCAGGGGCAGCAACCCAACAACGGGTTGTCAGATTCATCTGAAAATTTCAGGGCAGATAGATCTTGACCTGATAAACAATTTTACTTTATTTTTTGTCAGATTTACTCTAAATGCTTTGGTTTCAGAGATATGCCAAAATCTACATTTTAACCCTATGTTCTATTTTTAGCCATGGCGGCCATCTTGGTTGGTTGGTTGGCCGGGTTACCGGACACATTTTTAAACTAGATACCCCAATGATGATTGTGGCCAAGTTTGGTCAAATTTGGCCAAGTAGTTTCAGAGGAGAAGATTTTTGTAAAAGTTTACGGACGACGGACGATGGACGCCAAGTGATGAGAAAAGCTCACTTGGCCCTTTGGGCCAGGTGAGCTAAAAAGGAAAAAAAAATCCCCCCCACCCCAAATTTTTTGAACCCCCTTATGGTTCATCACCCCCAAACTCAATCCCAGCTTTCCCTTTGTGGTATGGTACCTTGCAGCACAATTTCAGAGAGATCCATACACTTGAACACAAGTCATTGTCTGGAAACTAGAAAAATGCTTGTTTTTTGGCCCCAAATTTCTAAACGTTTAGGGCAATTACTCCCAAACTCAAACCAAGCTTTCCCTTTGTGATATGGAACCTTGCAGTACAATTTCATAAAGATCCATACACTTACACACAAGTTATTGTCCTGAAACTAGAAAAATGCTTGTTTTTTTTACCCTTTTATGGCCCCTAATTACTAAAATTTTGAGGGAATTACCCCCAAAATCAATCCCAGCCTTCCCTTTGTGGTATGGTACCTTGCAGTACAATCTCAGAGAGATCCATACATTTGAACACAAGTTATTGTCTGGAAACTAGAAAAATGCTTATTTTTGGCCCCTTATTCCTAAACTTTTTGGGCAATTACCCCCAAACTCAATTCCAGCTTTCCCTTTGTGATATGGAACCTTGTAGTACAATTTCATAAAGATCCATACACTTACACACAAGTTATTGTCATGAAACTAGAAAAATGCTTGTTTTTTGGCCCCTAATTCCTAAAATTTGGAGGCAATTACCCCCAAAATCAATCCCAGCATTCCCTTTGTGATATGGAACCTTGTGATACAATATCAGAGAGATCCATACACTTACACACAAGTTATTGTCATGAAACTAGAAAAATGCTTGTTTTTTGGCCCCTAATTCCTAAAATTTGGAGGCAATTACCCCCAAAATCAATCCCAGCATTCCCTTTGTGATATGGAACCTTGTGATACAATATCAGAGAGATCCATACACTTACACACAAGTTATTGTCATGAAACTAGAAAAATGCTTGTTTTTTGCCTGGAACTCCTAAAATTTGGAGGCAATTACCCCCAAAATCAATCCCAGCATTCCCTTTGTGATATGGAACCTTGTGGTACAATGTCAGAGAGATCCATACACTTACACACAAGTTATGTCTGGAAGTTACAAAAATGCTTATTTTTGGACCCTTTTTGGCCCCCAATTCCTCAACTGTTGGTACTATAACCTTCAAAATCAATCCCCACCTTCCTTTTGTGGTTTTGAACCTAATGTTAAAATTTCATTGAGATCCATTCAATTAAACTAAAGTAAGAGTGCGAAAACTAATGCGTCTTCGGACGACGACGCCAACGTCATACCAATATACGACCACAAAATTTTTTTTGCGGTCGTATAACAATGATTCTTGTATATATTTCTGGGTTTAAATCCTGTACAAATTTACCTTCAGCATTGCACAGAATAGTCCTCTTGTGCTGTTTATGACGTTGTTGTCCATTATACTGGTATTACATGTAAACTGGGTTTCTTCTCAACTGATCATTGTACATTCTTCGTACCTTCTGATTATTTCAGATTGATATTAGAAAGGGGAAAGTTGAGTGCTTAAAATCTAGATTAACCTTCATTTACAACTTTTCTCGACTTACCGTAATGTAGAACTTTAAACTTGTCTAGTATTGTTAAAAACCGTATGACAATGTTTACCTCTGGATATCTGGTTAGATCGTTGTCTCTTTAATGTATACCACAGATTTTCTATTCATATCAAATGTCTGTGAAAATGGCTTATAAAGAATCATCAGTTTCCTTTTATCTATCCTTTATTCATCATTCATCTGCTCTTTATACATACATATCAATATTAACAATGTCTCAATCATTTCAAACATACAGCAATACCATCATTTACAAAGCCATAATGAAAGTACCACAAAAGCACTGACTTTCAATTGTTTAGAAAATTGGTTTTATGATCCTCTTCCAACATACCATTTTAGAAAGTGGCATATCTACATATCTCTCTCTGTAAAACAGCATTTGTTTCAATTATCTTTGAAATCTATGAATGATAGTGCCATCTCAATATTTCTTTCTAAAATTCCAAAATGACAACTTATTTTCAATAAATCAAAAGCTTCATTCTTATCCTTTTATATATATTTTTAACTGACAGTCTGAAGGTGGAGTAACCATTTCTGCCTTATGTTATTAGCATTTTTTTTTTTTAAATTACAACCTCTCATACAAAAAATATTTCACATTAAAACTTTACATCTAATTAAATCTGATCACAATAAGCTGAACATTTATAAACATATTTAATTAAACAAGTGATGCATACACTGTATTTACAAGAAATAGAGCAAATAAACACTATTGGAGATGTCCACAAAAAAGAAATCGGCACCAATTTTCCATATTATAGTCATTCTAACACAATAATGTTTGAATAGAAACACCTTTTTTTTATGTTTATATTAAGGAACCAATATTATTATCAAATTAAGGTAGATAGGGTGTCTTCCTCCATCTTGGATTTTGTAATACCTGAAAACAATCGGTCTAGATCTTTAATAGAATGTGCAAATTTTGAGAGTAGTAGATAATTCATGTGTAAGAATTTTCATTTCAACATAGAAAATGGCATGTTTTATCATATTTATGGTTGTATTTTACAAAAAACAGAAAACTTTTGTTTGATTCAATTTTTTCCAACTTTGCCACATTAGGGGAGGCAACTCAAATGTAAGGGCAGATAATTCAGATAAAGGTACTTTTACAATAGAATGTGTTAGGAATTTACCTATTTTATTATGTAGCAAGAAAACGGGTCCGGTGACCCCATTTTTTCTTTTTCTTATCTGAAAGCATACTATTAAAGCTATCTTCTCATATTTTATCTCAAAATTCTATGGTGTAGTTTTCGTTTTATGGCAGAAAATTGGGTTTTCCATGCATAATCTATACAAAATCTGTTAATTTTGAACAACCTGTAGCGTGAAAATAAGCCCTGTGACCCATTCTTTTTAACATTTTTTTTTAAAAAGCTTGATATAAACTACATTTTGGCAAATTATTAAAAAATTCTATGGATTATAATTTAGACACCCCATCTACCTTAATAGGTTTTTTTCTTTTCAAATGTCATTACTACAAAATGAAACTGAATTCTGTAACAGAAAAAAGTTATTTTAATTATCTATTCTAAAAATTCTGTTTTTTGTTTGATTTTGAAATGTTTCAATTACAGGATGAATTAACCTTGAAATCAAATTCTGTATTAGACATACTAAACTGAAGGCTTTCTTCACCAAATATTTATGCTATACACAAAAAAATTCTGACAATAAAAAAAATAATATTTAATACATATAAACCACATGTCACAAACATTGCTAAATGTACATTGCAACATAAAACTGTGAATTTTCAATAACATGAACATTCTTTTATCAATATGATAACATTGTTGCTAATAAAAAAAATATAATCAAAAGATCTTATTCTTATTCTTGTCATTGGTAACAATTAATCCTTAAAAATGGTGTTCCAGTCTGAGGAATGGACAGAGGCTGAGATGAAGCTAAAGAAAATCTATTGAAAAACAGAGACTTAAGTCTGTCAGAAATTCTTTTTGATAATCAATCAAATCCAAAAACTTAAAATTGTAATAACTCCTAAATCACTATGAAAAATATTACCAAGTCTCCATTTATAGACAACACTGCTCAAAAATTACAAAAGCGCAAATGAGGAAAAATGTCTTTACTTTGCTTTATATTATTATACTTTATAGATGTGTATTATTTTTTTGTATTTTTTTTTACATCAATATATGGTATAGGAGGATGGATTTATTTACAATGAATGATAATTATTTACAATTTTTGTATGAAATATATAGTGAACATGAACAAAAACAGGTCCTTTCACAATACAAAGCACTAACTCAGACATGCTTGGAAATGATGTTGGAGCATTCACGTACATGATACATTAATGATTGACTGATTATTTGGTGTTTAACACCACTTTCACCACTATTGGCTATTGAAATACCAGTTTAAAATATAAACATATGTGTCTAATACCAATAACCATAACTATCTTATGTATACACATAGGCACAATAATCTGAAAGTTGAGGCATTAAACACTAAAATAAGACAAACACTCATTTTAAACATCAAAGAATGAATTTTCTGCTTAAAACAGCATAAATTACATGCAAATTAAATATATATATATGAACACCTTAAGATTTTTCAGGTTCTTTTTTTTTTCCAATTTGCCAAAATCATGTATAGCAGGTGTAAAATATCTTGATTTAGGGGCAACAAAGTCGATGAAAAAAATTTTGGCAGTTTATATTTTGGTGAATTATTAAATCCCAATTCAATATTTTGGTGGATACTGAAATTGTTGCAGTTAAAAAGCTGTAAAAATTGATATAATAGAAAGTACTTTAGTCATATCATGATGGATTATTTGAAATACAAGTCATTGCTTTTTCCAATATCAGTCAATATGAAAACATTATCAGATAACTCAACTTTATATAAGATACCTATATGCATACAAAAATTTATACAATTTCTGCAATTCCACTATGTTGAAAAGCAAAATGAGAAAAATATCTCTCTAGAAAAAACTATATACATTTTGACAGTCAACACTTGAACTTAGGTCATATGAAACCCACATTTCTGTACATTTGGTTTCCTATTGCTAATAATTGTACATTAACAGTTCACATGTGAAAATTTCAAAATGAAAATCACTTACTCCATATCACTATCATCATCGTCAGCAGCAGAGTATGCTGGACTCGTTGGTGAATACTTTGGTGTTCCAGGAGTGTATGTTGGACTTGTTGGTGAATACTGAGGACTAGTTGGAGAGTACGTTGGACTTCCAGGTGAATATTTCGGGCTAGATGGCGAATAAGTTGGACTCTGTGGACTGTATTTTGGACTTGACGGTGAATAAGATGGTGAAGCAGGACTGTACTTTGGCGAGCTTGGACTGTACTGTGGTGAACTTGGACTATATTCTGGTGATGTAGGACTGTAGTTCGGTGAACTTGGTGAATAAGTCGGTGATGTAGGTGTGTACTTTGGACTGCTTGGAGAATATGATGGACTTGCTGGTGAATATTTCGGTGATGATGGAGAGTACTGTGGTGAACTTGGAGAATATGACGGACTCGTTGGAGAATAACTTGGACTTGTAGGACTGTACTTTGGACTGCTTGGTGAATAACTCGGACTGCTTGGACTGTAATTTGGACTACTTGGACTGTAGCTTGGACTTGTCGGACTGTAAGATGGGCTTGTCGGGCTGTAGCTTGGACTTGTTGGAGAATATGATGGCGAAGTTGGCGAGTAGCTCGGACTTGTCGGTGAGTAACTTGGTGATGTTGGACTGTAACTTGGTGACGTTGGACTGTAACTTGGACTTGTTGGCGAGTAAGAAGGTGATGTCGGTGAATATGAAGGACTGGTTGGACTGTATGATGGAGAAGTTGGTGAGTATGATGGACTTGTTGGACTGTAGGATGGCGATGTTGGACTGTAGCTTGGACTTGTTGGAGAGTATGATGGTGAAGTTGGCGAGTATGATGGACTTGTTGGACTGTATGATGGTGACGTTGGAGAATAAGATGGTGATGTTGGTGAATAAGATGGAGAAGTTGGACTGTATGAAGGACTTGTAGGTGAATATGACGGGCTTGTTGGACTGTAATTTGGAGAAGTTGGTGAATATCCAGGACTTGTTGGAGAATATGATGGACTTGTTGGTGAGTATCCTGGACTCTGTGGTGTCACTGCAGGTGATGATGGTACGTAGGAAGGAGAGGCTGGAGAATAACTAGGAGATAGTGCTCCAGCTGGACTTGGTATATATGGACTGGCTGGGGAACCAGGAGAACCAGGTTGTGGAGACCAGGCTGGACTGTATCCTGGACTGTAACCACTCTCACTAGCAGCAGATGGTGAGAATCCAGCAGCTCCTGGAGTCATTCCACTTCCAACACCTGGTGACCATGCACCATAGCCGGGAGTAGCTCCAGTCTGCCATGGTGTCATCTGTGGTGACATGCTGGCTCCAGGACTTCCAGGTGCTCCAAAAAACAAACCAGTACCTGTAATTATACAATTTGATTTAAATATTGTTTTTGAAGTTTACATAGTACATAACATTCATCTTCATTAGTAGTCATCAATCAGTTGTCATTTGCTGAATCATTAAAAAAAACCACATAGTTCTTTAAGTTAACCTTTCTTTTCTTACAAGTCTTTTAAAAAAATAAATGGGGAATGTGTCCATGGGACAAAGATGATGCCCCCGCTTGCATATCATATAAAGTTATTAAGGGACATAACTGAAGAACAGTAAAAGTGACACTACCCAAATTTGTACTTGATCTGAGTTTTGTGGTAATAAGTATTGTGTATAAGTTTCATAACATTTGGTTGAGGCTAACTTAAGTTAGAGAACGGAAACGAAAAATTCAGCAATTTTTCCTTCTGTAAAGGGGCATAGCTCTAGAACAGTAAAAAAGTGACACCACCAAAATTCAAACTTGGTCTGTGTTTCGTGGTAATAAGCATTGTGTATAAGTTTCATAACATTTGGTTGAGGCAAACTAAAGTTAGAGAACGGAATCTTGTAAAGGGGGCATAACCCTAGAACGATTAAAGTGATGCATCCAAAATTCTAACTTGATCTGTGTTTTGTGGTAATAAGCATTGTGTATAAGTTGCACAACATTTGGTTGAGGCCAACTAGAACAGAAACCAACTTTGGGACGTACAGACGGACGGACAAGGGTAAAACTTAATGTCCCCTCCGCTATGGCGGGGGGCATAAAAACCATCAACAGGTCATTATCTATATAGTGAGCTGATGATACATATATAATTTCACCAATGTATTTATTACATGTGCTATTAGGAACACCATACTCACTTCCACCAATTATTCCCACACCAATATTTGTAGGGATCTCCATTCCAAGTTTACATTTCTCTGCATCTAACAACAGATCAAATGCACCTGTGCCAATCTTAGCTAACTGTCCAACCATAATGGCTTCAGATACACCCATCATAGGATCAACTTCTGCATGGGCTGCAGCTTCAATCAAAATATCAACCTAAAAATAAATTTAATGTCACTGATTAGTTATATATATGAGCAATTATGAAAGGGAGGCAATTCAAAATATTTAATATAGAATTTCAAATTAAGAGAAAAAAGATGGAGATCAATAGTTAGTATTTGCCTCAAGACCAACGTTAAAAGATGTTAAAATTATCCTTTGATATTTCTACTACCGTACCTACTCGCTTATTAGTCGGAAAATTGGGAGTAAAATTCATAATCCAGAGAGGGGGACCGACTAATAGACGAGATCTAGCGACCAGAGGAAAAATCCAAGCTTGAGAAAAGTGGTCAGGAGTGAATTTCCTGGTCAAAACTACGTTTTTGATTGCCAAACCTACATAAATCAATAAATAAAAAGTTTTTGTTGAAAATAAATGACTACAATACTGTCTTTGTGTTTTATTTGTTCTTTGGTAAACATTTTCTGCAAATTCGTGTTGAAATTCTACTGTTTCCGGTTTGTGTATTGATTTTCATGGTCACATGGTTTTCCTATAAACCCAAAAGAAGAGCCAAGAACCAAAAATGAAAAGGAGATAACAATGTACCAAATATGTGAAAGGATGTTTTCAGCGGTGTTATTGTGTCATTATTGTGATATCATGATATCAATTCAATGCTTATAAATCATATAATAATCAAAAAATAATTTTAAGATTCATTCCCAAAATCAAAATATTATTCATTAAAGTGTCTCAGGTAAACAAAAATTACAAAATTGATTGACAAGCCAATATAATCCATTGATAACCCCAATTAAGAGACAAAGAGTTGTATTTACTAAAGGTGTGAAAACTATCAGTGATAGGTAAACAGATGACACTAATGAGTTGGAGTTAGTTATTTTAATATATTGATAAGCTTCACTTAATTTTTTTAATCCTTTAATCATCACAATATAATAAGAATTATGAAGTGTACATGCTCATTTAACACCGAGTTATGTATGCTGTGAAAAATATTTTCATCAAGTGTTGATTGACTTTAAATTTTTCAGGTTCATATTGGTTTATATTCGCTTTTCTCAAACAATAGGTTGTTAATCATACCCTACAAAATCATTGATGCATTACGTAAACAACACATGGCTAATCTAACATTTGAACAGTGAACAAAACAAGAGAAATGAATACATCTTTATTATTAACAGCAATATAAATTATCATGATGAGCATCAACTAAATTCAAACCAAACATTAATGCAGAAATGAATATTATTCCTGGATTTGCATTGGTTCTACCGGCGTTCAGTTACTGTCAGCTGAAAAAAAATACCCAAATTTTGTCTGACTTATACGAGGGTCAAGACTAAATCCTTAGAATTTGGAGCTGAAAAGGGCCCCCGACTTATAGTAGGATCGACTATTAGGCGAGTTTATACGGTAATTACTTTACGAGCAACAAAATGTGTAGCATTATGATAATTTCATATCAAATGTCGGTATGTCGCAATCCATGGTTCGTATATGTATGAATGTGCTCATCTGGAATATGGTCATAAACAATATAAATGCCCACCACAAAATACATATATAATGAAGTAAATAAGACAGACAGTCTGATTATGGAATGATACTTACTGTTTCTTCAAAAGAACATCTGGCTAGGGCACCAGTTTCCTGTCTGTTAATGCCGTGACGAGTAATAGCCATCAAATGACCTTTAGCTGTCATCACGTCACACAACAAGGCCAAATGTCTGTAATTTACGTAAGAACCATCAAAAGAAATGACATGAGTCATTTCTTTCTCAATTGACTTTCGCACAGCTTCAATGCCTAGTGTCTGTAAAGAAAAAGAATTTTCAAGAAAAGATGTGCAAATTCTCTTCAAATAATTCTAAATTTGTTTTTTTTATATGCTCATATCGAAAAAATACACAACGTTAAATTAATTAGCAACAATGGCAGCTTTCTTTCACACACTTCGTAAGAATTGTGACTAGGTTTTATCATGATCCCCTTACAGAACATTCTAGAACAGAAAGGTTGGCACATTCAAACTTGTTTAACTCTCCCACATTCTTTATGTACCTGTCCCAAGTCAGGAGCCTGTAATATTTACATTGGAACTGTGTACACATATATGGGGACAAGTAGCAAGTTTTTTACTGATCCAGAACTCAAAACTTGATCTGTTACTTCTTATGCTTTAACTATATAGCTGTTACTTCTTATGAAATAACTATATAGCTGTTACTTTTTATGCTATAACTATATTGCTGTTACTTCTTATGCTATAACTATATTGCTGTTACTTCTTATGCTATAACTATATATCAAATATTTTATCAATTGCTTCAGGCATAACAGAAGAAAATGCATGTAGTATAAATTAACCTGACATTACTAATTACCTTATTCAAAGCTTACCTGGAAAACCTCAACAATATCGTTAGTTGTAGTTCTGATAGGATCTACATTACGCTGACTCAAAACTCTCATCAGAGCTGTACCATCAGTTTCCAAGATCCATTCTGCCACTCCTTTAAACTCTCCTGTGTCAGTGATGAAAATTCTCTTCTTGTCATCAGTTGTTGGTAAATGCATGTATACCTGTCAAAATATACACAGTATGCTAAATGAAAGATGTATTTATAAACAGCTTTTTATTTTGTGGAATACTTTTCCAAAGAATGTAAATAACCAAATTTTACTGTCAGAGGCTGGCTGTCAGATTATAATGAACTAAGATATGTAAACATATTTACCATTTTTTTAGTTAACTTGGAATTCACATGGGTGAAAAAAATAATCAAATACCATCAAATAGGCACTGCAAACTCTCACAAATCCCCCAGGTTGACTGGCAACTATATCACAGGTGTCTTATTTTTTTTTCTATCCTTCATTTATACCAATACTGTTAATTTTTGCAAATAATTTGCTCCATAGTATATTACCTTTCCTATAGCCTCTAAACCCTGTAGAGACATATCTGACAATAGATTTGACTCTATACATCTTAGGAATACATCATCCTCCATTTTGTCAACAATCTCTTCTTCCTACAAAATCAAAACTATATATGAAACATAGGGTTCAACAACCAATTATTTTGGTAAAAATTTTGGTAAAAATAAAACATTTATTACTTTCTTTAAGTCTGCCTATACCACATCCATGTTTTTTTATTACTGTATTTAAACATGTAAAAAGAAAAGGTCCTTTCCCTGTAAATTTTGCTTTTTACTCTGTTTTGTTAGGCAGTTCTAGCAGTCATAACTAGTATATTTCACCATCTTGCAATTACAATGAAAATCAAGATACTTATCTGTGAAATTTTATTGCAAAATTTGAGGCACTTTACTAAACTTACAGAATCTACTTTGTCTCCTCCAGAATTCATAATCCTGATCCTAAGCACTAACTTCTCTGCATTGTCATCATTGAATATACAATTAAGATCATCACCAAATCCTGCTGTGATCTTTTCTGAAATATGTTCCATACTTAATTTTTTGTCAGTCATTCGCTTTCTGTTCAGTTCAATCCTTAGCAACCAGGGTGAGATCCTTGAGACATCAAAGTCAGGCATTTCATAGTAAACATTAACCCATTCTTGATCTTCAGCAATTACTGTGTTCTGTGGGTCTGGATCATAATATATAGCTGTGTTGGCTGTCACTTTTCTAAGTGTTGTATGTTCTAATTTACATAACACATCCTTAAAGAACAGAAAATGTAATGAATAAAATCAACTGAAATTGAGGCCAAGTCCATATAACAAATGTGAGAGATATTTCTTCCATGCAAACTATTTATCATGTATATTTTCTGAGGAAAAGACACCCTGAAAACTTAATTGGACTGCAGATGCCTGAAATTGAGGTCAGTCATGATAATATGTCAGACAGCATAAACTCCTCACAACCAATTTATTTACAGAATATTGTTAACAATGCATTTATTGATTTGAAATTAACATGAAACTAACAAAGTTAACTTGGAGTATTAATATTAGAACAGAAGAAATGTTTGTTTCTACTTTGGTCGGTCATCTTTGTTCATTTTATGGTGTCTAAAACCATTGAGACAAGCAAAGTTATACTATTGAACATGTTTGAAACAACACAAAATTCTTTAGCAGACAATTTTCTATAATTGTGGACAACTCTTATCTATCCACCTTTAGATTTGTCTAAATTTTGTTTGAAGTTAATCAAATAAAGTTAAACACTCAAATAATGCACTACATTTTTTACAATCAAGTAAAGCAACTTATTTAATAGATTTTCAGATGTAACCATATCAATATTTCAAGAAGTTACGAAAAATGTCTCAACATTGCAAACAATTTCAATTATGCATTCTCCCAAACCAGGTAGTGAAATGATGGCCTGTCCTATAAGTATTTCATATATTTCAAGGAGATCATTCAACTGTATTATCCCAAATGTCCTTTTCTGCAACTTAAAGAGTAAAACCTTTATATTGTGCAAGAACTGATACTGACCTTAGCTTTCTCAGCATCTCTGGCTGCTTGACCCGTAAGATATACTGTCAATGATGGAGTTTTTGGTTTCTTTGATATATTGATAATCTCCTTCAATCTAGGTACACCAAGAGTTACGTTTTTAGCTGATACACCAGCATGATGGAAAGTGTTCAATGTCATCTGTGTAGCAGGTTCTCCCAGAGATTGGGCACCTAGAGCTCCAACCATTTCACCTGGATGTACCTAAGTGTATAAATATAGGAATGCTGATGATACATCACACAATGTTTGTCTCAATTCATACATTCAGTGGTACTTCTTTAATTCAAATGTGTGAAACAAAATTGATTTTCCCCTCTGTACATGCATATGCTGATTATGAGAAATAAATTGTAATTTTCTTGTTATTTTCTCAATACTGAATTATCATATTAAGTATACAAAACTATGGTTAAGAATCTTCAGAATTTAAAAAAAAATAAATCGTAATTGATTAAAACAAATATGTTTTTTTTCCTGTACATATAATTGACACATACATGAGACTGTTGAAATCTTGTTTCAATTTCACCAAGCAGCCACTCAAATGCTTCAGCACTGAGTCTGAATTCTTCTGTCACTCTCTTTGCACACAGTGTTGATCTTACAAGACATTTCATCAGAATTGTAGCATTAGCATTAGCTTGAACACTGAGTTTATCGTCTCCTGGTACTGATATCAATCTTTTACACAGCTCAGCAACACCTGAAGTTGTTTTTTTAAATATGAAAACATTGATATCATTATCAGTAATATTACATAGGGAATCAAAAAGGCCAATCCTATAAGTCAAATGAACAAGAATTCAAATTGAGTTGTCATATAACAACCATAATGAACAATGTGTGTTTAAAACGCCCACAATCATCATACTTTGCAAATATTATTTTTTGAAAGCATAAAAAACAAGCGTTCTGTAAGTATTGCCTGGCAATACATAGTCCCCTACCGGTTAAAAATTCATTGTACTGGAACAAAATGCTAACTTGATCTATAACTTGTCATGGTGTAAACTATATAACACATATCATGTCAATATCTTCAAGCATGACGAAATAAAATGTGTAAAATTGATTATTTGAGTGCATTTTCTAAGTCAAGGACCACAACTCTGCACAAAATCATCAGACTGGAACAAATTAGAACTTGATCTGTAACTTGTCATGATAAAACTATATACCAATTATCAAATCAATATCTTCAAGCATGATGAAAAAAAGTGACGAAAACTGATTATTTGTGTGAATTTACGAAAACTGATTATTTGTGTGAATTTTCTAAGTCCAGGGACCATAACTCTGCACAAAATCATTAGACCGGAACAAAATAAGTCCAAGGACCATAACTCTGCACAAAATCATCAGACTGGAACAAAATTTGAACTTGATCTGTAACTTGTCATGATAAAACAATATACCAAATATCTAATCAATATCTTCAAGCACGAAGAAAGAAAGTGTGGAAAACTGATTTGCCAGACTGACAGACGGACGGAGTGCAAACCTAAAGCCCCCTTCGACTTCGTCGGTAGGGGACTAATAAGCCAAATTAAATGTCCAATTTCCAGATTTTTAATATGAAGATTGTTAATTTATATTCTATGTAACATGTTTCCATGTACATTAATTTGGTTTACATTTTACTGCATTTCAATTGGAAAACTTTCAGCTCTGCATAACATTGATCCTAAATCAAATTACCTTCTACAATTTTAGCTGGATGAAGGTCTGTAGGTTTATGTGTATTAATCCTGAAGATTTTTTGGGCATTCCATATTAGTCTGTGTAGATTGCAAGGTAATACCACTTTACTATCTCCTCTGGGGAAGATTGAACGAACTGTTTCCCTGTCCTCTCTTAATTGTTCCCACTCATTTTCTAACAAGGCTAAGGCCTGAGCATCTCCAAGCAGATCTTTAATAGTCTCTTCACTCATTGATTTCCTTAAGAGCCTACACAATTATAAAATGTAAATAACAATATTATACTTGATATCCCGATACATAATACCTATTACATTCAGATTCACCCAGTTGAAGTAATTGATTCCATCTGGGGGTAAACTTTTGCTTCATCATTAGACAGCATTTAGTCTCTTTGTGTCCTAGGCCTAAATGTAGTGGCAATCAAAAACATTTTGTCAACTTTAACCAAAATCTCTATGTTAGGCCTGTTTGGGGGTGTAACTGTTGACAATTGCCAATTTTACCTTCTCATATGTTTATGCAAATACTTGTCATTTTCAAATAATGGACTTTTCATTACCAAATTTCTTTTTACTTTAAATTTCTGAAAGTATGAAACCATAGCCTAATTTCATCAGTTTTTCAGAATTCAAAACAACTTGACGCATACAAATTCTATTAATTATATGTTTGTATCATAATTTTATAAACATTTAACAAAATTAATCTTCTTATTCATGATCATCATAACAGTATATGCTCCTTGTTGAAGGCTTCACTGTTCCTTTGCTTTTTGTTTTATTTTCTTGTGCATGTACTGATTTTGTGTCATGGATAGATACCCCATATCCTTTCTTTTTCTATTATGTGCAAAATAAATGTAAGCAATGTAAAGGGATGGCAATAACTATGTCCTTAAAGCTCAGATAAGAGCTATGCAAGTCCATTGGCATGCTACATATTCATATTGAAACTTTAAATACCTTTAACTTTGTTTTACTGGAAGAAAAAACACCTACCTTTCATCATTAGGATCCAGCTTGAACTTTTTCTCAAAGATGCGCTCAGGTGGTTTAACTGTAGGCAGATCTTGAAACTCAACATGACAGGCATCAAGGCCATCCTCACCATATGTTAACTGACACAACTGTTCAATTTGGTTACGTACAGTTCCATCATATTTTACCATCACACTCTCCATAGCTTTGATCAATCGCCTTTGAATGTAGCCTAAAATGCAATTTTTGCATAAATCATAAATACTGAAAGCCTTCATTAAGAGAAAATAGTTTAACTGGTCCCAGAATTACCTCTAAATTTATCATCAAAAGTGTTGAAATTTAAACAAATTTAGTTTTATACTGGCTGGCAGACTTGTAGCGTTAAAATCTTTTAATATAATCAGTCAAATCTTTCTTTAGGCAACCTTTGATTTTTTTTCCAAATATCCTATTTTTTCTTGCAATGTCCTTTCAGAGAAAAATATTAGAGTGATTAACATTTTTGAAATCACTTTACATCATTTAGATTACATCATCATGAAGGACACCATATAGTTAACTGATATATTTGTTTTGCCTTGCACCTTTGTTTATCTAAGATATATCATTTTTGTCAAGCCTTCGACTTTTGTTCGAAAAGCGAGACATAGCGATCCTACATTCCGTCGGCGTCGTCCACAAATATTCACTCTGTGGTTAAAGTTTTTGAAATTTTAATAACTTTCTTAAACTATCCTGGATTTCTACCAAACTTGGAAAGAAGCTTGTTTATGATCATAAGAAAGTATCCAGAAGTAAATTTTGTAAAAAAAAAAATCCATTTTTTCCGTATTTTACTTATAAATGGACTTAGTTTTTCTTCTAGTCAACATTACATACATTCTACCGTTTAAGTTTTTAAAACATTTATTAGATTCATAAATTATCCTGGATTTTTACTGAACTTGGACAGAAGCTACTTACAATCAAAAGATAGTATAGAGAGGAATATTTTTATTAATTTTTTCCTCATTTTTGTTGAGCCTGCGATTAACAGCAAAAGTAGGCGAGACACTGGGTTCCGCGGAACCCTTACAAATTTTTATTAAACCTACCAGTTTCTGCAGTTTTTACAGCAGTATCAATGAGACCTTCACGTCCTCCCATGGCGTGGAAGTAAAATTCTGATGGTGTCAGTCCGGCAAGGTAGGAGTTTTCTACAAATCCTCTAGATTCTGGACCATAATCGTCTTTGATGAAATGTGGCAAAGTTCTGTACCGGAAACCAAAAGGAATTCGCTTTCCTTCCACGTTCTGTTGTCCCACACAGGCAATAACCTACAACAGACATTTTATATATCCTTATTTGTTAACTCAAAGGTTAGGTTTTCCTCCCCATATTTTTAGGGCAACATTAATTTCATTGGGTTTTGAAAGCAAAATAAATAAATGGGGAATGTGTCCATGGGACACAGATGATGCCCCCGCTTGCATATCATATAAAGTTATAAAGGGACATAACTGAAGAACGGTAAAAGTGACACTACTCAAATTTGTACTTGATCTGAGTTTTGTGGTAATAAGTATTGTGTATAAGTTTCATAACATTTGGTTGAGACAAACTTTAGAGAACAGAAACAAAAAATTCAGCAATTTTTCTGTTTGTAAAGGGGCATAACTCTAGAAGGGTAAAAGTGACACCACCAAAATTCAAACTTGATCTGTGTTTTGTGGTAATAAGCATTGTGTATAAGTTTCATAACATTTGGTTGAGGCAAACTAAAGTAAGAGAATGGAAACTTTGGGACATATGTACGTATGTACAGACAAGGGTAAAACTTAATGCCCTCTCCGTTACGGTGGGGGCATTATTATTTAATAGGTGATCAAAGAATATCTTAGGTAAACACTCTTGTTGTCAATGTCCCGAAATTTAATTACAGGTGTGATGTCAGATAAACTGGTCAATCCATTTAAATCCCTGAGGTCATGTTTTGACATGTGTGTATTATATTTCTTCGACAACAAATGCAAATTTCTACTCATCAGGAGTCAAAATACATATATTTGTATGGAACAAAGTTCGGGAACCACAGGAAAATTTTTGACTCAACTGAAGTGTCAAGTCAACCGAGTTCGAGACGAGAGTTGACTGTATTTGTTATTAACATTTTGAATCTGAAAGTAAATCTTTAAAAACAAAACTTCTACTGAAATATTCTCCTGAGATGAAAACAGTATCAATTCACGACAATCAAATAAATGTCATCGAGTCGAAATTGCACAATGGAGATGATGATTTCAATGTAGATAGCTCATAAAATATTCATCAAATTTCAATAGTTATAATTACGTCAATTACTTTTTTTTATTTATAAAATCTGTGAATTTAACAGAAGAGTTTGCATGAAGTTCACAATGTGTAATAAAATGCTCCGCTGGGGCGCAGCTTGATACGACCGCAGAGGTCGAACCCTGAACAGTTGGGGCAAGTATGGACACAACATTCAAGCTTGATACAGCACTGAATTTGGATTGTAATTAAATATTTGACACAGCATAGGTTTCTGACACAGAATGAAAGTGGTCTAAGAACTTAAAAAATTTAAATTAACCTATTCAAACCATATCATTATTATTTGCTTTTATATATAAATCAGAAATAACCAATTTAAAATGGAAAATTTTACAGAAAAAAAAGGAAAAAAAAATCCCCCCCCCAAATTTTTTGAACCCCCTTATGATTCATCACCCCCAAACTCAATCCCAGCCTTCCCTTTGAGGTATGGTACCTTGCAGTACAATTTCAGAGAGATCCATACACTTGAACACAAGTTATTGTCTGGAAACTAGAAAAATGCTTGTTTTTTGGCCCCTTATTCCTAAACGTTTAGGGCAATTACCCCCAAACTCAAACCCAGCTTTCCCTTTGTGATATGGAACCTTGCAGTACAATTTCATAAAGATCCATACACTTACACACAAGTTATTGTCATGAAACTAGAAAAATGCTTGTTTTTTTGCCCCTTTATGGCCCCTAATTACTAAAATTTTGAGGGAATTACCCCCAAGATCAATCCAAGCCTTCCCTTTGTGGTATGGTACCTTGCAGTACAATTTCAGAGAGATCCATACACTTGAACACAAGTTTTTGTCTGGAAACTAGAAAAATGCTTATTTTTGGCCCCTTATTCCTAAACTTTCTGGGCAATTACCCCCATTGAAACTCAATTCCAGCTTTCCCTTTGTGATATGGAACCTTGCAGTACAATTTCATAAAGATCCATACACTTACACACAAGTAATTGTCCTGAAACTAGAAAAATGCTTGGTTTTTTTGCCCCTTTTTTGGCCCCTAATTCCTAAATGTTTCAGGCAATTACCCCAAAATCAATCCCAGCCTTCCCTTTGTGGTATGGAACCTTGCAGTACAATTTCATAAAGATCCATACACTTACACACAAGTTATTGCCATGAAACTAGAAAAATGCTTGGTTTTTGTCCCTTTTTGGCCTCTAATTCCTAAAATTTTGAGGCAATTACCCCCAAAATCAATCCCAGCATTCCCTTTGTGATAATAAACCTTGTGATACAATGTCAGAGAGATCCATAGACTTACACACAAGTTATTGTCATGAAACTAGAAAAATGCTTGTTTTTTGCCCCTTTTTGGCCCCTAATTCCTAAAATTTGGAAGCATTTACCCCCAAAATCAATCCCAGCATTCTCTTTATGATATGGAACCTTGTGGTACAATGTCTGAGAGATCCATACACTTACACACAAGTTATGTCTGGAAGTTACAAAAATGCTTATTTTTGGCCCCTTTTTCCTTAACTGTTGGTACCATAACCCCCAAAATCAATCCCCACCTTCCTTTTGTGGTTTTGAACCTTATGGTAAAATTTCATTGAGATCCATTCACTTAAACTAAAGTTAGAGTCCGAAAACTAATGCGTCTTCGGACGACGACGCCAACGTCATACCAATATACGACCACAAAAATTTTTTTGCGGTCGTATAAAAAATAGTGTTGATTTATTAGGTGGGTGGAGCTAATAATTCTATAATTACTTTTTTAGAATTCATACATTGCCTTCATACAAATTGAAAACATCACAAGATCAAATGATTCGTCCTTCAGCCAATCAGATCAGCATTATCATGAAATGAACACCTATTGTAAATCCTTCCTTTTAAAATTATAAAGCTATTACACAAGTAGTGTTTAAGTACCTGAGATATATTAATCTTGGAACCTTTAGATCCAGCCACTACCATAGATTTGAAGTTGTTGAAATCTGACAAAGACTGTTGAGCTTTACTACCAGTCTTGTCTCTAGCTCCATTCAAGATTCTGTTCACCTGATTCTCAAAAGTCTGACGCAGTGTATTACCTGGTGAAGGCTCCAAGTCATCATTGTGGGCTTTTTCAATAACCTCTATCACATCAAACTACAATGTGAAAAATCAAATGAAGCAAACAGTTTCATAATTTGTTAGGTTATTAATAATCACAGGTAACCTCATTACTGTCAATTGGTCCTTTGAAATTATTGGTGGAAGTTGTTCATTCTTGAAAATCTATGTTGATCTCCGACATTGAATTTAATGCATTGTGCTATGGATTCTGCGCAATAAAACTTAACAAAATATACATCCAAGAGTCCTTAATATGTGTCCTCCTGATAGTCAATATTTCTGACCCTACCCATACTATATTTATTCTGTGCAATAAAACTTAACAAAACATATATCCAGGAGTCCTTAACATGTGTCCTGCTGATAGTCAATATTTCTGACCCTACCCATAATACTATATTTATTTTATATACTCAACCAAATTTCAACTGTCATTCTCAATCAGAACCCATATAAACAACAAAACAAATTGGTTTATTGTTCACTTTGATCTTGTCCTGAACAAACCTGTAATATTGACCACCTTTGATACAGTAATTAACATTATTCTCTAAATATTTGAAGCATCAATGCCATTTTTACCTTGGCTTTTCTAATAGTGTCCTGAATATCAACGTAAGTTTGAGGATCAGCAATGGTGTCACCAATACCAATACTATTAGCTTCGTACATCAGCCAGTTGTTGACAACAGTTTGAATGTTACCATACATATAACCAGCTGTTTCAAATCCCAGCTCCTGGAATAGCACGTGAAGCAGAGATCCAGAAGAGGCACCCAAAGTCTTCTTACATAGAATACCACTAATCAGAACACCATCCTCTATCAATACCTATAAATATAAGTATACATTGTAGTTTTGTAACATCATTGTAACAGCAATTGTAAGGTCAAATATGCTAATTCACTATTTTAAGATATAAGCAAATTACTGGCATCTTACCCTTATGTTCCATTTTATGCCATGGTGGTCATGTTAGTTGATTGGTAAAACAGAAAGCACAAAACACCCAAATGATGATTGAGCCTATGTTAAGTTAAAACTAGTAGGTACAAGGAGTCATCATGTTTCATTTGTAAATCTAATCTGTAGATTGTAATTTGCTGAAAATTTTAATTATATTTTTACTATATTTATATATTTTCTCTAGCTGATCATTTTGCTGTTCTCTTTATATCTATCATTGTTTCAAAAAATATCCAAAAATGCAAAAAAACTGTCTTTTACCCTTAAATTGGGCATGTGGTTTCAGTGAAAAAAATTTAAAAGTTGAGACAGATGCCAAGTGATGGCAATAGCTCAAAGATATATATCTTTTAATATAACAACTGAATATTATTGTCATATATTTTTACCTTAGTATCACCAGGTGAAATCCATTTGTACGGACCTCTGTCTTCATCATCATTGTGAGTACTGTGGGTTCTTATACAATTTACACGACCTGGAATGACTAAGGTAATCAGCTGTTTTCCTGTCCAATAAGGTCTGGGTTTTAGTATAGCCGGCTGTGGCATGTGACCATCCCAGCTTGGTAAAAACATCAAAAGGTTCATCATTTGTCCCTAAAATCACAAAGTATATGACTTTTCCTGGAACAATTTATTCAATTTATGTCAAAAAGGTTATCAATTTCCATTTTACATGTTTTACATTTTCTCTTTTAAGTGATTTAAACAACTTTCACTCTTTGTACAAATCTAGTTTTAGTCCATTTACACTTGCAAAAGGGTTTACTTTAGATTAAAACTGTTAATTTTTCATATTTTCAAAGCTGTGTGAAGTTCAAACATAGACATAATATACTTGTAATCTGATATAAAATGTTTAACTGTAAAATCTTATTTACCCTGTCTAAAAATACATCTCTTTTGGTCATTTTTCGGACAGCAGTCAACGTGTCCTGTACAATACCCATAACTGGTCTGTTAGACTGTGGTGTTATTATCATCTTGGATACAAGGGCCAAGTTAGAAATCTCAGCTTTCGTCTCTAAAGACTGGGGAAGATGCAAGTTCATTTCATCTCCATCAAAATCTGCATTGTATGGTGTGGTTACACTGCAACAAAATATACAAATAAAACTTTTTTTTTATACTTTAAAAAAAAATAAGAATTATATACATTCTTGAAACAGAATAAGGAAGGTTTCAAGATTTGTTAAGATGAGGCAGGTTGTGGGGCACTTCCATTAAATTGGATGGGTGGTGATTATTAAGAAAAGTAGTGTGAACAATTGTAGGAAATGATCATTTAAATTCATGCATGGGAGATATCTTTAAAAAAAAATGTGCCTACCAACCTCCATATCCCCCTACATTTACTTCTATAACAGCCCTAAGCTCATTTTGTATGTAAAAACCAGCACTTTATCAATATGTAATTTTATCGACCAAGAAATGTTCTTCCAAAATTTTAGTGAATCATGCATATGTTTAAAAAGCTGTAGAGGAAGTTTTATTTTCAGCATATGCTTTGCATCTCTTCACGACTCCCACAGAAAGTGTCTGCTGCAAAAATATTTTCCCATCTTTACCATGTTAATAACTCTACTTCTTACCCTGTAGCTGTTGTTTCCACATCAAAATGGAAAACAAAATATTCCGACAGATTCTCTACAATGGAGATTGTACATAGTAAATGACCCTAAAAAAAATAATACCTCAGATTTAATCTGAATGTAGACCATGGTAAAACTTTGACTCTGTGACACATCATACTCATCTTATGTAGTGTTGGTTGTCGATTAAACACAATAAAATCATTATCCTGCATATGCCTTTCCACCTAGAATTAAAAATAAAACATATCACAACAGGCTCAATTAGGTAGATATTCCATTGAAATGGCTGTTCCAAAATTAAATGCATGGGAGGAACTTTTTGAAAACCCCAACCACCCATAAAATAATTTTTTTTAATTTACTTACCATTCATACAAAATGCTAAGGAAAATGCAACCACCCATATTCAATTAAAGTGCTTCCCATGCCTCACCCAATAAAATTTGAAACAACACTTAAAGAAATGTTCTGCCTCAATGACAGGCTTTAGCCTACAACGTTACATAAAATCAAATTTACACTATTATCATTTAATCATATATTATTTCACAAAAAATAATTAGAATTTGACAGATGGAAAGATACTATATTCTTTTAATGGTAGTGAAAATTGTATAAAATAACAAGAAAAAAACAAATTGAGATACATACCCAAAAAGCTAAAAATATGACTGACCATCAACACATAGATTAAATTGTTATTTACCTTGTGTGATGTCTTAAGAAGATCACTTGATTAAGACAGGAATTTTATATTTGTTCTTTCTTCCTTACACTTACCTTGTATCCTATCTGTAGATGAAGATCACTGGATTTTGGATGAAATCTTAAATCTATTCTCTCTCCATTATCCCGTACAATATACTTAGCACCAGGATACTGATTGGATCCTCTCTGCACTAAATCATGCATTCTGAAAACACAAATATTCAACTGTGCTACCATTTAATATTACAATTATCAATGCTATTTTCTGAACTCCCTATCTTTTGTTTTTGATAAACATGACTTTTCGAACCGTAGCTGATCTATGTCAGAAAAGCATTTGTGTCCATTCTTCAAAATCACAATAATAAATGCATGCAATAATTTCTGAATTTAAAGTATATCTAACGACTTGTCCTCCATCTCTACACCTCAACTTATTTTTGCCTTATAAATATAAAAGACTACTACAAAATATATCAGACTAGAAAACATTGCACTCACTTGTCTATATTAAACGGTGTGACTAACTCAGGAAATGTCATGTTCTGTGCTATAGATCTGGGCACTCCTACTTGATCAATTCTCAAGTTTGGATCTGGAGTAATGACAGTACGAGCTGAAAAGTCAACACGTTTACCCATCAAGTTTCCTCTTACTCTTCCTTCTTTACCCTTCAATCTCTGTTTAACAGACTTTAAAGGTCTACCCGATTTCTGTGTGGCCTGAAAACAAATAAAATGATTTAATTCGAAACTAAACATGAGGTAACCATAATTCAAACAAGTTAAGAAATACTAAGCTTCATTGCTGATTACCAGAAGAATTTTTCCTGAAGAATAACTTTTAGTCCATATTTAAAAATCTTTTCAATGTCTTGGACAGTAACTTAGTGAAAAATTATTTAAACACATTCTCAAAGGAAAACTTATTTGATTTAATTTGATAAAAATTTGGAAAACTGCAGGAGTCTGTAAAATGGAACTAACCTTTAAACACTTTATTTGTAAAGGAATTTCTAACAGAATAAACTAGATATGTCAATATTCGACCAAAAGTCAGTCAACTGAATTGAAATTCATCCATACACAAATGAACTAAAAATATTCAGGCATAACAAAAATAAGTCTGGACAAGAATTTGTTTTTAGAATGAGGGAATGACACTATATTCCCCAGCCACTTAGTGGTGGGGCAAAAAAGATAAGGAAAGGACATGTAGCAAATCTGTTTATTATAAACATGATAAAGTGGGCAATAGTCCAAATAATTTCCTACCTTTGGCAAACCAGGAAGTTCATTATCTGTGAAAGTTGCCACATGATACTGTAACATTTTAGTGTCTTCAGAAATGATGTGTGCAGCTGCACCATTTTGTTCATTTCTTCGTAACTGATTATTTGCTTTGATAATGTCTGACAACTTATGAGTTAAATCATCCTGATTTCTAGCTGAGCCAAACATGACAACAGCTGGTCTGACACAGAGTGGTGGAACTGGCTGTACAGTAATAACCATCCAGTCAGGTCTGGCAAACTTGGGATCCATTCCAAGTACAATGCATTCCTCATCTGAGATGCGCTTCAAAATCTCATGAACTCTTTCTGCAGTCAATACAATCTTTTTCTCCTGTGTTTCTTCATTTATATTCTTCCATTCTGCAGTTAAATCTAAACCTTGTCTTCTTATTTTTGGTTGAAATCTTCCACACCCACCATGCTGATGCTGAAATATTTACACAAAAATTAATCATTTGCCTTTTTTCAATACTTGGGATTTCTTCAGAAGTTTTATTCCAACACTTATTTCAAGTAATTTGCATAATTTTGTGTTCTAGTTACAAATTAACAATTTCATTTAGTTTCTCAAGTTGGATGTGTTCATTAATGAATCATGATCTTATTTTTATATGATATATGCTTCATTCATGAGAATACATGCTAGTTGTACAGAAATGTTACATGCCATTGACCTTTCAGGACACTATTATTAGTATTTTAACCAACTTATTATTTTACAGCAGATTCCATTGAGTGTGTAGCCAAAGGTAATATCTTTGGTTAGCTTGCTTGTTAGCTGAACCGTGAAGTCATTATTAGGTCAGGTATACTACCCTCCTTTCGAAGTAGCATAGTCCAACAGACAGGTCGATTGGTTTTCTGTCGGACAAGTCTATTCTTAAAGTAGGGTAGTTTACCTAACCTAACAATGACTTCACGGTTCAGCTAACAAGCAAGCTAACCAAAGATATTACCTTTGGCTACACACTCAATGGAATCTGCTGTAATCTAAATTTAGTGTTTTCTGACCTGTGAAATATAATGTAGAACCCTTATTTCAGTCCATCAAATTGCTACTGTGACCTTGACCTACCTCAAAATCAACATGATTTTTACCTTTTTCTCTTCATCCTGAAGATCTTCACCAAGTTTACCATCCATCTCATCTCCACCTTCACAGATCTTCTTAGTTTTACAAAGATCATAAACATGTGCAAATCTTTTTCTTGGAAATCCTTTAGATTTTGCTATAACATCTTTAACCTTTGGATGATTCTGAAAACAAAATAAACATATACATTTATATATGCTGTTGAAAACTAGAAAACTGAAATGTCAGCAAGGGTCAATCTTGCACATTTATGTGCGAGCGAGGCACAAACTGGTGCATACAAGGTAAACCATGTTCATTTGAAAAAGTCAACAACTAAAAAGTTGTCAGCATACATGTACATCAAAAATTAATAATTGGACAAAAAATAAAGTTCTCAGTAGCAGGTAATGCTGCTGTTGACATCTTTGTCAATAAACAGTAAATTCTATAACCACTAGTAATATACCTATTTAGTATTTAATAATGGGCCCCTCCAATCAACACTTTAATGAATGCTTAAGTAGACACTATCATAAATAATGACCTGAGAATATACAAAATTATGTTTATTTTTACTATTGAGAAGATTTTTGCCCCTTTAAACAAATAAAAGCAAAATGTACAAGATGTTAAGATAGATTGTTCATGTTTTTCACTCAGCAACCATACAGTTTTACGGTATTGTAAGTAAGCACATATGGGAATGCTAGGAACAGGATTACAAGCAGGATAATGGCGAAATTTTCTACTTGTCAATCTTGAGTACTTTCTCTGATCTGAAAGTCATTAATAACTTTAGATAAGGTTTATTAATGTCTGGTCAAACATTTTTATTATCACAAAGTAGTGAAGCAGAATAAACTACTAAACAAAGCAGACATAGGAAAGTACATTATAATTATCTGTAAATTGCTAACTTACGATATCAACCAACAGCTTTGAACAGTAGAAACACACACATCTTATCATTTTGATGGTTTTTGTCAGAAAGCCAACATGGAAGACTGGTTTGGCTAATTCTATGTGTCCAAAATGTCCAGGGCATTCCTGCATGATCCCTGCACATGTCTGACATCTGGAAGTCCTATCTACTGTTCCTTGTCTGGGATCCATCAATCCACCAAGCTTTGGTCTACCACCCTCCATTGTTTCAGAGTATTTTATACCTCCTTCTGTAACAGACATCCTCCTCTGTAAAATGACAAAAAAATAAGTTAAATACTTTTAAACTAAATCAAGCCAAAAGGTAACAAATTAATAAATGTTTCACTGTAGAGTATGTGTTTTCTCAAACAAAATGCAGACTTAATAGACTTACAAATTAACAGGTTTATCTTTATATACAAATTCTTAATTAAATGCAGTAGCATACTTTTATTCCTCTTTCAAAATATTTTTTTTAGTAGATAGGTCAGACAATAAGGGAAATGTTTCATTCCACATCAATTATAGACATCCTTGAAATAGGTTTATCTAAATGTACATGTATATTCCAACAGCGAGAAAACCTCATTTTACTGTCAACTGGCAATTAATGCAAAACATGAATCTTTGCATAAATATCTTGAGACAAATATTGTCATTTCATTTGTAAAAGCTCTTTTTATATATATCTATGATTACAATATGGAAATGCCAGGTTTTCTATTTTTATATGCACCATGGAAGATACTTTTGTGCGGATGTGTCATCATTTTTTTGAAAACTTACCATTTTCAGACAAATCAATATCCATTCTTGCTACTGAATACAAATTTCTTTCAAAAGAATTAAAAAAGGTTTAAAATTATTAAATTTAAGTAAAAGGCCCCCCTTCAGGATTTACTCTTCACACTGAATTACAGGCCCAGCAGCCAAGGCTTGAAAAATCAACCATACAGTCCAATAGAATAACTAAAATTTTCGTAAAATTAAGCTTGTGGTTGTGGATTTAGAACTCAAAGGATGTCAAGACTGCAGCTATTTGATGTTTTCAAGTTCTGAAATACATATACTTGAAATGTTCAGATTTAGAAAATGAAATTTATGGGCAGAATGAGAATAAGTTTTGGTTAATTTAATATATAGAATACAGTTTTTCTTGCTATATGCAATGTAACAAAATATGACATAATATGTTCAGATAAGTGGAAATTATATCATTTAGTGACTAGATTCATAAGTAATATTTACTGGTTCTCAAATTAAACCCACAATATCATCACATCACACAAGTAAATTGTTTATCTTTGCTCACAAGATGATTTAGGATCCAAGTCTATGGTACAGCATAGACTCAGCGCTGAACCTTACTTTTGGTGACACTTCATATGTAACCAGTTTATTTCCAAAAAGAATCTTAGTTACTAAATATTAAACTGTTGACACAGAGATGTCTCGCCTGTCTGCAGAAAATTCGAAAAAGACAAATCTGATGGACAGCAACATTGCTTATCAATTCAAAAACCCCGGACCATGACCTAGGAGACAGGGCCTCGAAATAGTTGTCAAACTGTTATGTTATGATAGTAATGCAACTTTATAGAAAATATCATTGATCTATCACAAGTAGTTCCTATAAAACTGACTTAAGCAGAAACGTAACAATTGTTGATGCATCCTCTGCACTTAACCAGAAGAGCAACAGCTACGTCTAACCGTTTTGAACAAAAAATCTGTAAAAGTTGTGAATTCTGACAGTATTACAGTAGTGTCCAGTAATTCCGCCCGTCCGGTAAAACAGCCCACTCCCATTTCTTCCGCAATTGTCAATTCCGTGAATATTTCAACTGCTATTTTATTCATAGGAACTATACTTATCATCACTGCATGTCAAATTTTAAAGAAAAATCCTTTATTACAAAAATATCTAGTGATATATATAATACAGTTCCTAAAGTTAACGATAATCATATTATTGCTCACAAAACTCATTTCTGACTTGAAATTATTTTTTGGATTCCCTGGAATCCCTTTATTAGTGGTCTATGAATAAATAGATCAGCTTTTCGCTTCTTAAATTTGTGATAAACTGGCCCTCCATATATATTAACTGCGCATGGGCGGATTTACCGGACAAACACATTTCCATCAGGGCTCACACTACTTCAGAATCATAGGGAGAAGTGACTTCTCTTTTTGAAACTTGAGAGGGAGAAGTGGTGAGATTTGAGAGAGAAGTGCTCGTTCGCTTGCGGCGCTACAATGTTTGGTTTTACTATAATACAAAGGGCCATATGTATCTTATTTTTTTATATTGTTCAATTTGTACCTGGGAGTACAATAAAAGTAACAGTTCAAATTCAAAGTTGTTTAATTTTATCATATCTAGCTGCACAATCATATTAGTCCTCTTGTCAGAAAAAAAAAAACAGTTTAATATCTAGCAATAATATTAATAAAAAAGATTTTTTTATATCCAAAAGGAAAAGAAAGTTGTTATTTCAATTTAAAATGTACTCTGTTATGTTTATGAAATTCAGTGGTTAAAATTCACATTTAAAAGATATATAAATTTAACACAATTAAGCTTGGACATAGTATAGTAGTCCCAGAGTTGAGCAATTTTAATTAATAAATTGAAACAATTCATATACATGGAAATATATACATTAATCAAGTAGATCTAACCAAAAGTATGTTAATGCGCGTGGAATGTGTAATTTTTCCTTTTGGGATCAATATTCCTCTGTCAGCTGTGCCATTCATTCTTCGGTAGTCATTATCTTAAGAATCTGGATTTTGGTCATAGCTGGTCCGGTTCCAATCAGTAGTTTAGTACAAATATTTCAATGGCTGATGCAGAAGAAAAATTTACAAAAATAAACGATGTTAGACACACTATTTGGAAAGGAATATGACATTTTTAATGCAATACATGGATAACAAATTTACTTCAGGCAAATTTCATCACGTTCTAATGAAGTAACGAGCTTATTTTGCCGAAAATTAGAATGATTTGATGTACGCTCTCTAACAAGTACCGGAAGTGATAAAAAATTGTTTTTATGAAATAACATGCAACCAACTTTAAAATCAATGCTTTAACCTCTTTTCTGAAGAAAATAAATCGTTTATGTCTTTGAATTTCTTTACTTTTTACTGAAAGATTGCTGTTTCATCGACTTGGTAAAAATTGAATATTGCGGATGACGAAAGCGACTGAAAGCGAGTATCGTTAACCACAGGGCAACTAGTTTTCGCTTTTGAGGGTCGGGCAAAGCGAAGTGACGGACGGGAAAGCGACTTCTTAGCCCTAGTCGCTAGATAGCGTGAGCCCTGTCCAATAAAATCATGGATGACCCGCTTGTTTTGTTGATTTTAAAATTTATTTCAGATATTTTTTGGGAGATAGATAAACTATTCAAAGTTGATTTGTCAGTGAATCGACTTATATTAAATTTGATACGATTAGTATATAATTATGCAGAAATACATATGATCAAAGCCTTCTGTGTGCAGATTTACCGGACTGCATCGTAAACCTGTTTTGAATGTGGTAAATCATTTCAAACTTGGTAGCAAATTTTATATTGTGCAGACTCGCTATGTATAATTTGACTGACAATTAGTGCGCAATGATAGCAGAATATAGCATGGATATGGCATTATAACAGATGAAATCCTAATCTCAAATGAAGGACATAGAAGAGAAATAAAAACAAAGTATCTTCAGAGAACCTAGCTGCTTCCCCCTTTTTTCTACCCCATCTTTTTATGTAACAAGTCTTTATAATACAATTATATATAATTTCAGATTCATTGTTTTATTTATTATTATGTGTTATATCTATTAGAACTGTGGGGTGACTAAATACATCAAAACAATTTATAACAGAAACATTATTTTTTCGTACGATTTCATCTGGTCCTAAAATCCCAAACTGTACTCTCTTCACGTCGCGAAGAGGTGCGTTGGAATCACCAGTATAAGCCATGATGCTTGTCTGTTATTCCTGAAGTGAATATGTTCTAGCAGAAAATTTTCCGCTTCATTTATCTGGCTTATTTCACAATTCCACTGCAATATGGCCGCCCTTCACAGAGCGTAATAAAGTTTCGGGTGGTAGGTGTTGTGTATTTATACATTTCATCGATTACTACGGGTTGAACATTTTCATTCCAAGGACTAAGCCTCAATTAAACGTTTATCTAAAGCTGTAGTTACCTTTAGCTTTCAAGCCGTGATAGACTACTTTAGGGGGTACGCTAAAGGTTAATTTGTTTGAACTATACATATTTTTATAATTTGGTCGTCTGGAGGCAGTGGAGGGTCTGTTGAATACATAATTGTTGACTTGAAAATAACCCAGAAAAGATCTAAACCGTAAAATAATGAATAATCTAGAGTTGTCAGAAATGTTAATCTATTCGTAACTCTGTAACCCCTTGTTTCTCAACAGGTATATAGTTCTTCTTCCGAATAGACTCCTAGGTAGGAGTGTAAAACTTCCCGGAACTATATATATATCTTTGCTTATCATGTGTATTTTCGGGGAAGTGCTAAAGAATGTGTAAAAATTTATTTGGTGAAATCTTAGTGTTTTAATCTCATCATGCTCATGTATTTTGTTGTTGTATTGTCAAGTTTTGATTGATATAAAGTGGTTGCAATGCACCTTGAAAGCGTTTGTAATTATTTTTTTAAAAGTACTGAACTGAAATTATGAACTATGGAAAGAATTCAAGCATAAATCAAACTTAAACTGATTGAAACTTTACATGTAAAATCTCATTCTAAATGGTTCCGTTCTATCTGAGACTACTATAACACAGAGATTGGTCACTACAGATTTATCGGATTATCTGAGTCTCCGGTAGTTCGCTACGTTATTTTAACGTAGTTTCGTATTCGACCGTAGCAGACGACATATATCACCTATCACTGAGAATACTATAATAGTATCGGATATTATTATTTTTCTTTTAAAAATAATTTAAAAACAAAATTGAATTAATAAAAAAAAAAAGAATATTGTTTTTATCTTTCAAATGCAGTTATCTCTATTCATATTTAAATTATTGTTTTTAATCATTAATAATTTGTTAATAGTTTGTTATTATGCGGCCACTCTTGAAAATGTGAATGTGATTAATCTTATCAATCTTACAGTTACATTGTTTTGCTACACGTCCGTTAATTGTATCTAATATACAAATATTTTACCTGTAAAGACAGGTAGTCTCAAAAGCATGGGCGATGAATTTTGGAATTTTGTTTCACAGCTGGGTGCCCAAGGTACACGAGGCTCCGTTTATTGCAGTAAACTTTTATTCTATACTTGTAAGGTATTTCACTGCTGAGTGCCCAATATACATGTTTATTGTAGTATAAACCTTGTCAAATATCGTCGGTGCACTTGTGGTAGGATTCAGGAGGGTGTGGATGGGGTTTTATAGAATGGAGAAATAGGGGCAAAAAAAGTATAGAATGGAGAAAAATGGACAGACAAATAAAGAATAGAGAAGATAAAATAATAAGTTATTAAGATTTAAAGAATAGAGAAAAATGGCATAGAAATTATAGGAAATAAAGAACCCCCATCCAGACCCTCATTCAGATTATCCAACGTAAAATTTTTTTTTCAAACAAGTTTCAACCCCCCACCCCCACTTTTTTTAAATTTCCGTCTGATAATTAGGTCAAGTTTTTGCAAACAATGTAATAAGCGGCGATCACAGAAGAGAGAAAAAATTTCATTAAAGGTAAATGAGTAATTTCCTTACGTAACAGATCAGCAAAGAGGTTATAACTGCAAATGAGTAATTTCCTTACGTAACAGATCAGCAAAGAGGTTATAACTGCAATGGATACATAAAGCAAACATAAGCCCTACAAATTATATATATGTTCCCAAAATATCGCCGGCATTTTCATTTTTCAATTCACAATGTCCAGTAACATTGATTTTTTATCTTGGGATGATAGTGATCTCAATCGTGATCTTTTACGTGGTGAATATACTGCATCAGATATTGAATCTGAGGATGACTATACGTCCCTGCTGCAAAGACTGCAAAAACTCCAAAAGAAGCATCAAACGCAAGTACATGTAAATCAGAATGAAGAAGCTTCAAAATAACGTGACTGAATAATCAAATTATCTCTATGTTAACATAAATAGAACCACATTAGTGTAAATTACGATGACATTTTTTTCAACACCAGAAATATGTGCCCTCTTTCAAAATCCCAGACAAGAAATTTTGTGCTTCAATACAGAGCCGTAAAGTTTTTGAAAATTTGAATATTGTCTATTGTTAAAGTGTCGTATGTTTTAGTTATATCGCTATGCTTTTTGTAACCTTAATAATTGAGCAACTCAGATGAAAAGAGTTGTGATTTGCTTTAGTTTTTTTAGCCACAGCAAATATAAATGTGCTTGTTCAATGTTTGGTGACAAACCATGTTAATTGTTGTCGGCATGATGCTTTGTAAATAGGTTCCCTATAACATTTTTTTTGTTGGGTAACTGCTGACAGTTTACCATGTGAAAATTCTGAGAAGCCAAAAATAATGCGGAATGTATAAATACGTAGCGATGTCAGATCTAAACAAGAATGTTAAATATGATAGCATATATTGATGTCACCTTTCTGTAAATTCAACTTCGATTCACAACTGCTTGTCAATGGCAAATATTTCATGTACAGTCAGCCTGATTAAACCGAAATGAACTATTTTCAAATTATGTTTAAAGTTTGTTTTTATGTTATTTCGTTACACCAATGTCCCATGCTAGTGGTGGTGATGAGCGCCTAAAAATATTTAACATTGTCACATTCTTTATGTGCCCGTCTCAAGTCAGGAGCCTGTAATTCAGTGGTTGCTGTTGGTTCATGTCCGTCATATTTGAATTTTCGTAAATTGCTTTGTTATTGTAGACACTTCGTTTTCTCTAGTGAATTGTTATATATTTTCCATGTCGGGGACTTTTGAAGCTGACTGCACGGTATAGGTTTTCTCATTGTTGAAGGTAATTACGGTGCATTCCAATAACTTACATCCACTTCATTGAACTTCATTTGGACTAAAGGAGTTGTCTGATGATCATTAGCAAAAATATATAAAAATATCCTTAAAGTTTGCTTCAAGTGGCTATTCCTTTAATATATATAAAGATGTGTGGTTACTTGTTTTATTTTCTTTCATTGAACTTTTAAACAAACTGAGCGTGTTAGTGAATTTCTGCATTCCTGTCTTAGTTTTAATGTATATAATAATAAAAATGTATATTCAAAGACTTAAATATTTATTTCTCCATGTAAGACAAGCATGACAAATTCAATGAAATTAATAAAAATACTAAAAAAGTCATTTTCTCCTGTAGTACTTCTCCCTTCTTCTAATGCGTGATTTCTTTCTGGGGGTATTCCTACAATAAAGAATATATTATAAATAAAAAGAAATAATCTTTGTCAAGTTTATAGCATAGGCAATTCGTTAATTTTCAAGACAGTAATCTGAGACTTGAGACTCAGCAGTAATTGACCAATCATGTCAATATGGATCAAAATAGTTATAAAGGATGCAGACCAAAGGTGCATGTACTTTTTACATCATGTTTGGGTCAATTATTTAAAAAAAAATACGTCTATTTAGGAACTCATAATGTACTGGTATTTCACATGGTGACACATTTTCATTGCATAATACTATTATACTACATGTAGCATGTATAGACTGCATATATATTATCAAGGGAACCAAATATAAATCTAAATTTCTTTCACTAACAATACAAATTCACCTATCAGACCTCATGTTGTGTGTGTGCAACTTGTCTCGTGTGTTTCTCAGTTCTGCAGCGGGAACTTACTGGTCAGAAAAATTGGAATTTCAGATAATTACAAATTTTACATCATTACATCGGTTAATTACTAAGGCTTGCACATACATTATCCGGAAAACAGATTGTTCATCTGAATGCAAGTTATGGGTGAGTTGCTCATTGACCCTGTCCCACGGACTGGCAATAACTCGAGGTTACTTTCCGGTTTGGTCGGTAAATTCAAGTCTATAACTGCACTTATTTTATTTATAGTGCTTATAAACCAACATTTATGAACATGTCAAATCTTATATTCACACTTACCGGAACATAACACTCTTTATAAATCCACATTTGTTAATTATTATTTTCTCTTTCGCTGTCAAAAATGGCGGTAGAATCCTTCTTGTCAATCATTGCAAGTCACGTGCCGAGTCACGTGATCGAAGACTTACAATTAATTACTATTTGACTGGTCAGTACGGGAAGTGACCAATCTCTGTGTTATAGTAGTCTCAGGTTCTATTCTCTGTGAATCGTGAAAGAATTAATGCATTCGTTGATTGTTTGCTTGATGTCCATTTGCAAATATTTCATGCATTTTCAGAACAACACATTTGATCGAATTATAATAGTGATACGCCTTATCTTAGAAAACTGATATGGGGTAGTTAATGTTGAGTCAACCAATAATAATAACAGAGACATATAATACAAGAGATTCGCATCTCGGCGAAATCCCGTAAAAACACGCGGCCACTAGTTAAACCTCGCGAGATCTCCTTAGGTAATAAAGTCATGAATAAAAGTATTAAAAGTACTCGAAGTAAGGACGAATGTTTAAGCATAACATAAACTGTTTCAGTGTTAAATTTATCATAATTAATTAAATAATTTGAGTTCATATATAATTATTTATTTTAATGTAATTTTGATTTAAGATTTGTATTATAGAAAAAGAGACATAATTTGATATTGTATTTAAAAAAAAACTGATAGTAAATAATTAACACTTGATAAATTGTGTCAGAGTTCATTTTATTTGATAGTTTCATAATAGGTTTCCATTGAATATACACCTGTCTCGGAGACATAATTTCACAGTGTGACATGTATATTAGGTTTGAATTATTCGATGACCAGGTAAATCACGAACATGTTATAAATAAGGTGTCTTCCCGATTGTCCCACTTTTTAAAATTACAGGTAAAAAAGTAATGAAATTTTGTGGGACAATCGGGAATATGTTTGTGGGACAATTGGGAAGCTTAAATGTGGGACAATCGGGAATTGTTTTTATAGTGATTAAT